TAGTTCATCCTTACAGTTTTCTCATTGTCTTCAAAGGCTTCTCTTGCTTCTTCTTTTGAGCAGCGCTCCTCATTGCATTCTCTTTCAATATTGCCTTGCTTCATTTCTTCTAAAAAACTGTTGGCACGTTTTGTTCTTTCCAAGAACCTGTCGGCACTTTCTTTCTTGATGAACACTAGACAGTAGAGAAAATGGTACAATTACAGGGCAACATTTGGTGGCGGTAACAAGTCATCAGAAATAAGTGAAGAAAGGAAAACAAATCAGACATTCTCAGCATCCTCCCATAGGCAACATCACTTGTAATATTAGCCCTCAAGCAGATGGGATCTCGGGATCTCTGCGAGATCAGTAACTCCAAGACAAGCCAGAGGCATGCAAAATTCTGTCCTCTGTTGTTAGTCTTGAGAATAAAATGTGCAGGTTCCTGCCGAAGGTTTATATTTCTGCTGCTCCTGCTCTAGATTCCAGCTTTGAACAGAATGACTTGCCTTGTCACAGTGATGGTGTGGGAGGCTGCAGTCCCTGATTTGGTTTTAAAGCTGGCAACCAGGCAACACCACTGGCTGCTCTGGAGACATATGGTCCAGCAAACAAACATCACACAAACAGAAGATGCAGTAATTTGCCAGCATGGGGTTCTACTGGCAGATGGGAACAGCTGTTCCACAGTCCCACTTTCAGAAAAGAAACAGCCCATGTGTGAGATCTACTGCCCTGCACAACCCCAAGCCCCAGTGTACTGCCCTTGGGTCTTTCTTCACACTTAACAACTGCCTTTCATAGTCTGCGCTGGTTCTGTCTTACTTCTTACAGTTACTGTCTTACTTCTAAGTTTCCAAGTACAGCCAAGGCAGCTGTATTCAAAGATTTAATAAAGAGCAGATGCAAATTAATGTCACCTTCAGCATCTAAAGAAAGTACAGCTTGAGTTCAAGTTGCTGGGTCATTTTATTTTTTAAAAGTTTGATGTCACAGAGCACAGGACCTGCTGCCTTGAAGTTCAAGATGCAGGTAGCTGATGATTTAATGGAAGGATCAGAGGTGCTAAGCTCAGCTCAGCCACTTGGCTGCATGAGCCATCGTGACACTCTGCAGTAACTTGTGCACATATTAACTGACAGGAACAACAGAAGCAACACTCTAGTAAGTAGATTGCCAATTACCTTGTAAAAAGTAAATGTTTTAGGAAAGCTTGTGGATTCTGAAAACTAGCATTCTAAAAACCTGAAACCTACAGAGGAAAAAGTACTTTCCAATCACAGAGTGGAAGGCAGCACTGCAGATGGGACTTGAAAGGCAATGGAATCAGTTTGCATTGACCTTAAGCAGCCCAATGCAGTAATATGTGAATTATCTGATCAGTACTCATACTTTTTGCTAACGGAGCCAAATTTTGCAAGTGCTGTTCATACTGAGCAGCAGCACAGAGCCTATGTGTGTGTGGAACTGTGGTGTTCCACTCGCTCTGAGAAGTCTATGTGCAGGAGGGCTACAGCAATGCTTGTAACTTCTAGCTCAGTAACAGTCAGTTCATTCACCCATGCCTCTTTTGTCCTTAAGTCCCTCTCTGCAGTGCAGGACGTGAAAGGATGCAGCCGGTGGGGTCACTGTACTCCTTTGCCTCCACATCACTGCTGCATGAGGATGTTTTTGTAAACTTGAACCAGCCGATAAGCACTCTCAGCCTCGAGCTTCCTGCCGTCCTGCCTTCTTCAAAAACACGAAGGAGCTCAGGGTGTTGGTCAGCTCAAGTAGGACACTCCAGCAGCTGGCTGTGGAAGGACTTCACTGTAAAACCCAAGCAGGGTGACTCACTGAAAGAAGAGTCAAAGCCTTCAGAGAAGCAGCCCGGTGTGGCTTTCTGCTCTGACTTTGATATTGACCCTCGCAGCAGAAACAGAGGCAGGACGCGCTCACCCCTAAGCTCCAGCCCGCGGCCAGGGGCAGCCGGCAGAGCCCAGGAACGAGAGCTCGCCGCGCTCGGAAGGCAGCCGCGCTCCCGGCGACGGCAGCCCCGTTCTACAGGGAAGACCCCCCGGGGCTAAATCCCAGCAGCCATCTCTAGCAGCACCCCAGTTGCCCCCCGGCCGCTGCCCGCCCCAAGGCGCTGCTTTGCCCTTCAGCAGGACTCGGGTTGCCTCTTCTTGGGGGTGACAGCCCGATCTGCCCGCTCCCGGAGGCCGCAGCCCCCGCTCCTCTCACGCACCGCCCGCGTGCGGGAGGCACTTTCCAATGCGGGCGCTTCGACAGCAGCTCCCTAAAAGCTTTGAGGAGGGCACCCCCTCCTCGGCCCGGACGCCCCGCAGAGCCGCCCCTTACCGCCTCCTTCAGCCCGGAGCTCGTCCGGCAGCGCCGCGCAGAGCAGCAGGAGCAGCAGGCGGCCGGCCATAGTGGCGCGGGATGCGCACCGCGACGGGACTGGACGGGACGGGACGGAGCCTTCACCGGGCGGGCAGGGACTGCGGCGGCGTTGCTTCACCCTGCCCAGAAATAGCGGAAGCGCCTTGGAAGGGGGAAAGCCTCTGTGGGATTTCTCAGCCGGGGGGGGTGGCCCGATTATGTGTCGCCTCTTTTTTTTCTTTTTTTTTTTCTTTTTTTTTCTTTTCTTTTCTTTTTTTTTTTTTTCTTTTTAAAGGAAGAGGTTGGGAACGAATCGTCAGCTTATTGAGCAAGTGCTGGCCGAGGCTGACCTCACCCAACGTGGTGCTGGCAGGTGTGGGGCTTGGCGTGATGCTGAGGGGTGCCCCATGGCAGCCCCACTCCCTGCCGCCACCACACTCCGTGCTTCACACAATGTTGCTCAATGCTGGCTCCTTTGGCTTTGCCACCCTGTGGCCCCGTGGCCTGTGTTAGCACACAGTTTCCTCACCCAAGGAGATGGTCCCCAAAACTGGCCTCTGTCTCCCTATTTTTTGGGGTTTCCCAGTGCCAGTGCCTGGTGAGGTCTCCTTGTTGCCACAGCGTGCCTCCCATCGGTTGTATGAGCTTTAACAAGACCCACTTGCACTTGGGTCACAACAACCTCAGGTATTGCTACAGGCTTGGGACAGTGGCTGGAAAGCTGTGTGGAGGAAAAGGACCTGGAGGTGGTGGTTGACAGTCAGATAAACATGAGCCAGCAGTTTGCCAAGGTAGCCAAGAAGATCAGTGGCATCCTGGCTTGTATCAGAATTAGTGTTGCCAGCAGGAGCAGGGAAGTGATTGTTTCTCTGTACCCTGCTCTGCTTGAGTACTGTGTTCAGTTTTGGGCCTCTCACTATAAGAAAGACATTGAGGCTGTGAAACATGTTCAGAGAAAGGCAATGAAGCTGTGATGAGTCTGGATCACAGAATTTATGAAGAGCAGCTGAGAGAACTGGGGTTGTTCAGTCTGAAGAACAGGGGCTCAGGGAAGGTCTTATTGCTCTCTGAAACTACCTGAAGGGAGATTGAAGTGAGGTAGGGTTTGGTCTCTATTCCCAGGTAACAGCAATAGGACTAGATGGAATGGCCACAAGTTGCACCAGGGGAGGTTCCTGTTGGATGTTAGGAAAAACTTCAGAAAGAGCAGTGATGGCTGCGCAGGGAGGGGATGAACTCATCATCGCATCGGAGGTGTTAAAGAACTGTGTGCACATGGCACTGAGGGACATGGTTAGTGGACATGGTGGAGATGGGTTGGGGTTGCACTAGATGATCCCAGAGGTCTTTCCAGCCTTAATGATTCTATAATTCTGTGATTGTTTACACAGGCTGTTATGCTAAAAATATGCATAATCTTGGCTTTATTGTGTGAAAGTCGTGCCACACTGCCATTAATACTGGCTGGATGTTTTGTCTGCATTTTGCCCTTTTTCTGCAGGGTGACTTGTTCATAAATATCAATATTTACAGTAGAGAAGTCACCCAGTGGAGCCCATAAAATCAACAGCTATTCAGTTTGAGGGGCCTAGGGGGATGATGTTGCAATGCCAGGTGCCTCACCTTGGTGAAAATCAGACTTCATTTGCTGGCTGCTGCCCCCAGTCACCTTTCTCCCTGGGAATTTTCCTCATTTTTTAAAAAATATTATTTGTTTTGCGTTCTGCTTCTGCTGGTATAAATGCCTTCCTTTTTTTTTTTTTCCTCTCACTCACAGTGGGTCTTGTTATGTCTTGTTATTTCTTTAGGTATAACCAGAACCTCCAAGGCATGCTTTCATACTTGTTTCCTAGGTCTCTGGAATTTGCAGCTTCTCTCATCCCCCCATTCCTCTGTCAGTAACACAGATTTTGGGATGTTTGGTATTACATGTACTGTATAATGCCAGTGTTCTCCCCTGATACTAGAGCACAGTAAGTGTCCTACTTGCTGCTAAGTCTTTGTGATTAATCTGATATTCAGCATAATTTGAAAGAATCCAAATTGTACAGAAAGACAAATATGGGATTAGCTCTGTGGTATTCTTCATCAATCATAAATGTATTGTTAATAGCCTTACTGCAATAATATTTAGAGCAGGAAGACTAACATCAACTTTTCATAGCAGACTTGTAAATGTGGAATTAATCTTTTCCCAGCTTTCTTGTCCTGAGGATGCTCTGCAATTCCTCTCTCTTAAATTCACCTGTTGGGACTGCAAGAGAAAGTTCCCTCACCATAAGCTAAAAGAAACACCATTTCTCTTTCTCCTGCTGTTGCTTCATTATATTGCAGGACCTATCAGCACAGGAAGTTGTGAAAGCCCAAAGTGTAAATGTGTTTGAAAGAGATTGCAGATGTGTATGGCAAATGGGGTCATTCATGACCATTCAGACTCATGTGACTTCTTGCTCAGGAAGTCTGTACATCATTGATTACCAGCAGCCACAATGGCAGCACACGGAAGGATCACGGTGTACTCGACACATTACTGACAGCGTTTCTCAGCACCAAGCTTTTCTGTTACTAGATAATGGGTGAAGAATGAGGGACTCTGAGTCTGGTTGGATAGGGCCTTTCTGTGGCCTCTTGACAAGACACTGAAGTTTACAACAATATCAGAGTTATTTTATGTATTCAGGCAGGCATTAGGCTCATTGAAAATTGTGAACAATATCACATTTACCACGTGTCTAAGTTAATGGAGGAATGCTTCAGTACAAAAATGCCACAGAGGGATGAAGGAAGGGAAATGCTGTGGTTCACTGCTGTCATTCCATGTACCTCTTCAACCAGTCGATGTATCTGGACACTCTTGTGTAAACCCCATAGCTGCCTTCAACAGCACAACCCTTTCCCCAGCTGACAATCCCAGTCAGAAACCAGGTGTTCTTGTACTTTGTAGCGTGAGGTCCACCACTGTCTCCTTTGCAGGAATCCTTTTTGCCAGTCAGGTCTCCTGCACAGAACATATTCTCAGTGATGTTTAAATTGGCCTGCTTTTCACATTCTTGTGTCTTTACACGCGGCAAATCCACTCGCATCAGAAAAGTAGAAGTAGCCCCTCCATCTAGTAGCCGTCCCCATCCGCTCACCGTTGAGAACTTAATGGAGGACAGCTCGTACATGGCAAACCGTTTTTCAGGCAAGCAGATTGGCACCACGAAATCGGTGAGATTCACGGGTGTTTCCAGCTTCAGGAGGGCAATGTCATGATTGACTTGTCCATTGGTGTATTCTTCGTGTCTGATGATCTTGCTAACTCCACTTTCTTGCTCAGTTTTCTCGTCAACTTTTATTGAGTATTCACCTGGAAAAGTTAATGGTTGCAGGTCATGTTGGCCAGAAACTGGATTCCTTGGGAGTTTGTGGATGCAGGAGATTTCTAGCCTGACACTTTTTGTTTTTCACACTTTGTCAGAAGGAGAAATTAAGACAACCACAGCTTGATAGCATGGGGAAGGGAGATACATACCCAGCCTCACCCGGAGCTGTTTGGAATGAGTGTAATCCAGGCAATGAGCTGCAGTCACCACCCATTCTGGCGAGAGCAGACTACCACCACACTTCCCTTTCTGATCCTGTATTATAAGGGCCTGCCAACAGAAAGAAAGTTTTTGACCTGAATCTCAGTAGAGTCCAGTTTAATATTGCTTCTTTCTGTCATTGTATGCAGCTGTCTTTGAGAATGTTATTTTGATTTTGCAGAGAGTTTAGGAGGGAGGAGTTTTCACATTAACATTTTCTCCACTTTTTAGCATAGATCCTGTGTATTTTGGCCAATAGGTAAAATTCTTAGCAGTATGGTTAATGATGAAGGGATCAGGAGGCAGAGGAGGTTATGTTACCACTCAACTACTAGGAAAGCAGGCTGAGATCCAATTCAGAACAAGGCTGAGATCCGTGACTGAAACAGGTGGAGCTGCTGCGTAATGGATGGTTTGCCCAAACCTTACACTTTCAGTGCATTTTAACATTCAAAATACTGAATATAAGATAATAGCTTCACAAGAAAAACAGCAATGACCACAGTGAATATTTGTGGAAGACTCACTTGCCATGGACATTCACCTGGAGGACAGGTGACACCACCTACTATTCTCCCCTGAGCAGTTGCATTCTTTTTTGCCAGCACTGGTATTTTTCCACAAGGGTATTTCACTGAAAAAAAAAAAAAGAAAAAGATAACAAGTGTGATTTCACTGCACTGAATTCACAGCAAACTGTCTCTGACTGATTCTTATAAACATCTTCAGTGGAGTTCTATCAGCTGAAAAACAGGTTCATAGTGTGGGAGCACGGTCTCTCAGAATTCACCCAGAGCTGCTCAACAGGCAGGCTTTTTTTATTTTTGTCTGCAAACAGCCAGATATGGTTTTACATTGACTTATCCATATACCACCAGTGTCTTCTGCTATATCTCTAACTTTGCTTCTGCTCAGGTCATCTTTAATTCTTCCAAGCTGCACTTATCAGTCAGAGGTCCTTCTGTAGCCTGAGTATGCACATGAATATTGGCAGTAGAGTCTTGAGGACCAAACCTGCTTCTGAGCTATGGTGCAGAGGAAACCGTGGTGTTTTGTATACATCCTTCACACAACAGATGCAAAGAGCCTGTTGCTGGAAGTGGGGTGCCAGCTGTGCTGTAACTGAACATACCATCCCTCCCATCCAGCAATCGTTCTGCAGTAGCACTGTGATGAGAAGTGCTCTCACTTTGTCGTTTTGGGACCCACGGTTCTGAATTGAATCCCTCTCCATGATTTTGCAGCAGCCTCCAAGGATGGGGCACCACAGCTTCTTTGGGCAGCAGTGCCAGCACCTCACCACCATGTGAGTGAAGAGTTTCTTCCTACCATCTGATCTAATATTCCCCTCTTTCTGTTTAAAACCACTCCCCCTTGTCCTACCACTGTCTGCCCATGTAACAAGTTGGTCCCCCTCTGTTTATAATCTTCCATTAAGTACTGGAAGGCCTCAAAAAAGTCTTCTCACAGCTGAACAAGCCCAGTTCCTCATGCTTTCCTTACAGGAGAGAGGCTCAGCACTCTGGCCATCCTCATTGTCTCCTCTGGACCTGCTCCAACAGCTCCACATCCCTCCTGTGCTGGGGGTCCCAGACCTGGATGCAGTACTGCAGGTGAGGCCTCATGAGTTTTGCATTCTCGCAGAACACAGTCAGCAATAATGGTATTTTGGCTCCAAGAAGGCAGCCACAACAAATGCATCTTCTTCTCTTCATGCAGGCAAAAATGCACTTTCAGGCCTATGGGGCATATCCAATTCTTTGCTCTCAGCTTTTTAAAAAGCAGCTTCCCCATCACGTGGCATTGCAGAATCTGCTAATAAGGGATAAGCACATTACCAGTATTTTTTTTTTTAAACAGAATTGCTGTTGTTGAGAGCTGGGTTGTCATTATCAGTTCTCCGCATGACTGCTCCATTGCTGCATGTGTATGGGGGCTCTGCCCTCAGAACTGCTTCTTTAGCCCTGAGCACGTGCTCCCTGCAGCTCTGTTCATTATGTGCGCAGCCCTGAGAAGGGCCTCCTTTTCCCCTCTAATAACATAATTGAAGGAGGCACCTGCAACAGAGTTAGGTGCCAGCTTAGGCATTGGGGAAACAATGAACTTGTGCTAATGGAGTCCTATTTAGCATTTACCTTCTTGGACGAGTGAAATATCTATCTGTATTACCTAGAGCAACATCAAGTGTGTCGTACCTGCTAAATAGGAAATAGGTCTTACTACAAAAGAAAAAAAAAGAATGGATTTTGTCATTTTTCTTTGGTTTTAATAGGCTTCTTCCTCTCTTGACTCCTGCACTGAAATAAATATGGTTGTAAAACTGATAGTCATGAATTCTCATGGATTAGAGAGCAGCAAGAAATCAGCACTGCCCCCAAAATAATCACATGCACTCACAGCATGTGTGAGCTAGAACAAAAGAAAATTGACTTATAAGGTGCAACCCCCCTCTTATCACCTGAGACCCCTCAGCCTGACCCCAATTCCTGGGCACTGCTGCTCTGCTCTCTTCATCCCACCCGGCCATGGGTTGTGCTTCCACTGCCCAGGTCTTGTCCATGGAATGAGTGGTGAGTGCTGCCCAGAGAGCAGACTGGGCTTGGCCCCAGGAGCTGGGACATTAGAAGTCAAATGCCCCATGTCTCACAGGAGGAGACTTCTGGGGACAAGAAGTGGGTGATCCAAAGGGACCATTGACTCTTGAGGGCCACACTCAAGAAGATGTCCTGGAATACAGTCTGCATGCATTGAACCCCATAGAGTGGGGGCCACAGACCTAATTCAGCTGCCTCAGCAGATCCCACCAGGCTCAGCAGATCCCACCAGTGCTTTTAGCGTGGGCTCAGTGCACATGCTTTCTATACTGCTTCTTTGGGGTGCTTCAGCAGAAGCCCAGACTCAGACTCTAGACTCTGCCCTAGAAGAAGGAGGAGCTGGCATTTATGCATGACACCTCACACCTCCTAAGGTGTAGGCATTGAAAAGTTGTCTTGCAGGGTTGGCTCAGACTAAGCATGCGGTGCATGGCATCCTACCTTGGGGAATGCAGGACACGCCATCACTTGCTAAAGTGTAGCCCTCTGCACAGAAGCACACTCGTTTTTCAGACTGCTGGTCAGCACAGTACTGCTCACAGCCACCGTTGTCGTAAATGCACTTCAGGTTCTTGTCCACGGCTAAAGGCAGAGAAAGAGCATTAAGGTTTCTGCAGGTGGGTTTTCATGTTTAACATGATTGAATTACAGCTTGAAATGTAGATAGGGAAGCAAGGCAGCCAGGCAGGTTTCAATTATTTGTGTACGGATTGATTTGTGTACAGCAATTGCATCAAAAGCTGCTGCTGCATCAAAAGCTGCTTGGCAAAGCTCTGTAGGAGGAACTCCAGGCAGAAGGAAGGAAGAACCATGCTTAGGATGCATGTATAGCTCGGCTCTCATTCACTCGTTGCATCATCCTTCTAAGTCAAAGCAACTTCAGCTCTTGGGTAGGAAAAACTATCTTCCTTTTCTCTCAGCTGGTCCAAAATTATTGTAGGATTTGAATTCTGTTGGTGCTGAGCAGTGCCTGGCTGGTTAAAGCCATCAGTACTGATTGCTCCCGTCAATCTCAATGCCTTGCATTTGAGTTAGCAATGATAGTTTAATTTTGTTAAGCCACACAATTGCTGACCTGTCTCACAGCTTTTGCCCTCATACGCCGGAGGACAGCGGCAGACGTAATCCTGAAACTGGTCGTCGCAGATCCCTCCGTTCTGACAGGGGCTGGAGTCACACTGGTTGGGGTCTGCAAAAACAGGCAGCGTCAGCCTGGGTCACGTGAGGAACGGAGGCAGTGGGAGCATCACTGCAGCTGCAAGGAAACATGGAGTGCTCCTACCAGAATAGATGTGCCAGAACTCTTTCTGGAAGAAAAAGGTGAGAGATTTAATTAAAGAAGTTGCTCAGATGAAGCCCTATGGCCCCTGTAGCATAGGATGGCAGACAGCCACAGTGGTGCCACTTTTGCTGCTATGATCAGTGAACACCATGACATCCGTAAAATACTGTATGTTATTTTCCACATTCTACAGTACTTTCATGCCAGCAGATAAGGGCACACTGTAATACACACTGATAGGTTATCCATCAATAACCTGTGAATATAGAAGGTGGGAGGGACTGAAGCAAACGCTGCACAGTGCAGTAATTGAAGGGATTGTCAGCCCTGGGTTTACTGGGGAACTGGAGGGTCACAGAATCCCAGAATCAGAAGGGTTGGGAGGGGATTCTGGAGATCATCTAGTCCAATGCCATTGCTGAAGCATATTCCCCACAGTAGGTTGAGAGGGAAAATATCCAGGTGGGTCTTGAATATCTTCAGAGAAGGAGACTCTGCAACCTACCTCTCTGTGCAGTCTGAGACAGCTTAGAGAGAATCCACCTTCCCGCTGCCCCCCAACATGGCACTTTTTTTTCCCCTCATGATTTGAAGAGTCAAAGCACACCCTTGAACAGTGGAGAGCCCACCTGCCCAGCCCTGTGTTACTTACTGTCCTCTCATCATCACGGTAGATCTCTCTTGCTTCCTCAAATGAACACTTTTCTTCGATGCATTCTCGCTCTAGTGACCCCAGCTTTATCTCTTCAAAGAAGCTATTGGCTCTTCTGCGCCTTTGAAAAATGCTGTTTGCCTCTTCCTGCTTTAAAAAGACTGTAAAACAGTAGCATGTTGAGTTGGTCATATGTCTGTGCAGTCCAGAAAGAAAGGGCAGGGAGGAGGATTTTCTCTGAAAGCTTTTCTGCTGCTTATGAGAAGCTGGGAGAATACACACAGCCCTGCAGAGCCTTCTCACTCTGGCGTGCTTCCTGGCATGTCAAGTGACAGCACTTGGGTCCCACAGAGCCCAGAGCTTGTGAGAAAATGGCGTAGTATCCCAATGTTGTATGTCAATGACTCCTAAAGCATTATCACACATTATAGAGTAGATCTCTACATGTGTCATGAAGTTTCTTCAAATTCTAGGAGCTGAGAAGCATTTATCTAGATTTATCTAGTACTGATTGGTGTACATGGCAACACTCAACTGTCCTGTACTCACTATGGTAAACCACTTGGTGATGGGTCAGGCAATCAGACCTAAGTCCCCAGTGCTCTGTTCCTTAATGGTTTTATCTCAAAACCTTTCACATTTCCACAAAACCACAGACTGGCTGAGGCTGGCAGGGTCTTCTGTGTCCCTCTGGTCCACTCCCTCTCGAGCAGAGCCCTCTGAGCAGGGTGCCTAGGACTGCTGGAGATCCCCAGGGAGGAGACCTCACAGCATCTGGGCAGCCTGTGCCAGCACTCTATCTCTAGCACAATGCAGAACTGGTATTCAGAGGGATCCCCTGCATTACAGTTTGTGCTCATGGCCTCTTGTCCTGGCACTGGGCACCATTTAAAAGAGCCCAGCTGCATCCTCTGTGTACCCTCTCTTTGGCTATGTACAGATATTGATGAGATCCCCTATGCCACCTCTTCTCCAGACTAAGCAGTCTGAGCCTCTCCGTGTGCTCTGGTCCCAAATCATTTTTATGGCCCTCTGTTGGACACTCTCCAGCATATCCAGGTCTCTCTTGTACTGATGTGCCCAGAACTGAGCCCAGCACTCTAGCTGTGGCCTCACCAATGCTGAGCAGGTCACACTGCTGACTCATGTTCAACATGGTGCCCCCAGGACTCCTGGGTCCTTTTCTGCAGAGCTGACTTCCAGCTGGGTGCCTGGGGCTGTTTCTCCTTCATGTGGTTCCTATCAACTCACCTCTCCAACCTGTTTAGATCCCTCTGAATGTTAGCATGACCCTGTGGTGAATCAGCAACTCCTCTCAGTTTTGTGTCATCTGCAAATTTACTGAGGGTGCACTCTACCCCACTGTCTGGATTGTTAATGAAGATGTTAAACAGGACTGGAGCCAAAGCTGACTTGTGGGATACTCTGCTTGGACCCTTTAGACCTGCAGATGGGATTTCCTTGCTGGCCACAATTACAGAAACAGTGCTTTAATATAGCTTTCTCTATTTCCTTCTGTAAAATACCTACACTGAAGTACACAGGAAGGCAAGACAGTGCCCTCTGCTTTGCCTGCTGGAGCCTTTGCATGGCTCCGTGCTGCTGCCAGTCTCACAGACTGCAGCCATGGGCCCCTTCTCCCCATGTGGTGCTGCTGTCCTTTGAGAAAACACAGGGACAAATGCTCGATAGAAAACATCAGCAGAACTCACTTCCTAGAGCTGCATCTGCTCCCAGCTCATAGAAGCATGCTGATGGCACTGTCACTGTGCTGAGCTGCTCCTCAGCACCAGGATGCATCACACCACAGGACAGTGAGCAAGAACTCTGCAATGTACTTTTGCTCCATCTAATACACAGTGTAAGTCCTGAAATAGGACTGACTTTATTTTGCATTGTTTTTTCCCTCGGTGTAAGCAGAGAATCCTAGAGCTTAGTGACAACAACTTACAATTTCAGTGCTTGCAACTATTTCCCTTCCAGCTGTGGCTATATTCAGGGATTCAGGATGATGTCTATGTCCTGCCCAATCCCCAGGACATTGTCCACTGCAGGACCCCCAAAGAAGGGGAGCTGCCTCCTGCCTGCTGGGAGAGCATTTGTTGAATGATGAGCAAAGTTGTGGTCATTTTCAACGTATTTCAAAATTATCTGAAGGGTTAAAGTACTGTGTGGCATGCACCTCATTTATCATAAACATTTGTCCATTATAGGAATGTCAGCTGGGTTGTTCTGCCGAGATCAAGTCAGGCTGTATGCATTTAATATGATTTTCTTTAAGAGCTTATACTTAACCTCACATTGCAGATACATTGCATACATATCAGCCTACATACAGACCCCAACAGGGCAGGCACTGTGTGTGGTGCATGGATAGTGGCACCCTCCCACTTCCATTTCTATGTCCTCCACTTATTTACACTGGAACATTTCAGACTTCAATGTATTTCTTCCAGCCCTGTTCACCACAATTTGAGAGACCTGGTCAACCATGAAGCACTGATTTTGCTGTATTCATCTAGATGCTGTTTTTCAGACGGACAACAAAGCTACCATAGAGCTGCCGCTTCACTTCCTTTTGCTGCTTCAGAAGCACAGCACCCTTCCCCTCTCTCATTTCTTGTCAGCTGAGTGCCAGGCTATCGGTTCTCTGCTTTGCAAAGTCCCACAGCTCAGTAGACATCACAGCAGCTCCAGGCGCTTCCCCTGTGGGCAGCGGACCCGGTTGCAAGAGACACGCAGGAGCATGGAAGGAGTTTCCCTCAGCTGGCAGAAAAAACGCATGGCTGCCATCACCAAGAGCAAGCAAGAGCTTTAGGGAAACTCACAGGACAAAGGTTTCTATGTGCAACAGCGGAGAGTTCTGCTGCCGGTGAGCTAACTGCAGCTGTACTCTGTGACATACCTGCTTCCAGAGAAGGAGGAACAAGCAGCGGGAAGCAGAGCAGCAAAGCCATGCACTGCCTGGAAACCATGCTGACCCTGCAAGCCGGCGTCCTGGTGGCGTATTGACACTTCAGAGCAGGCTGTTGGGCCAAAGGGCTCAGCCTCCAACGCTGGGAGCCAGAGGAGGGGCTGGAGAGTCATGGGAACCGCAACAATCAGGGCGAAGCGCAAGGCACAGCCTGCAGCCCGCCCGTATGGGGAACTGCTGTTGTGCAAAGGCTGTGCAATAGCCTTTGCAGAGCCTTTAGAGAGGCCAGGTCCCATGGCCGCCTCGCAGAGAGCCAGACACAGCCTTTCAGTTCTCCGCAGGAGCAGCAGGTGCTGACAGCTAGCTTTTCCAATTTCTCAGTCGCCGTTGGAAACCCTGAACTTCTAACGCTAATTAACCAGCAAAACAAACCTTACACCAGTTTTCTCTAACTGGGTTGCCTGGCAAGCTGTACCAGCTCAGAGCCGATCCACGGCTCATTTTGTGAGCAACAACAGGGTTTTGAGGGACTGATCTGCAAGTAACATTCTACCTGGGAAGCAAGCAACCCTCAGATTTAGTGGAAATCAATTAGTGGCATCAGAACAGAGAGCTAACAACTGGCTTAGGTAAATGTTGACTCGAGATAGCAGCAAGGTAAAGAGCTTGTTTTCCAGTCTGCCCTCTCCTTAGTGCATGTAGGGAAGGGACTGTTCTGCTCCTTCTCTGCCAGGCTCAGCTGGGTTCCTCACAGCTGGGAGCCTACAGCTGGGAGCAGGGCCTCCAGCTGCTCTGCACACCTGTTGCCATTGTTTGGTGATGGTGCACGCAGCAGGCATCCTGCTCTGAAAGCTGCTTTCCTGAAGGGCATCCTTGGGGAAGGCCACATCCATCTACGTGAACACCACATGCCTCTGTGCCCAATGCACAGTCTGGTCCCTGCCACCACTTCAGTGATGTCTGTGTGGCTGGGCCCTATGCCATGGCTGCATCACCACAACTGGCTGTTCTGCTTCTCTGCTGCCCTACGGCTGAAGCAGTGCTCCTTTCTTCTGTTGGCTGCCCAAGGAAGATTTCAGTTTTATTTGAGTACAGCAAAAAGCCATTATTAATGCAGAGCCAAAGGGGAAGCTCAAGTGCTGGGAACAGCACTCAGTCCGCATGCTGATAGCCCATTTTCCAGGAAAATTGCTGCAATGGGATGTCATTGGGGTAGCAAGGATGCCTATCCCTGTGAGAAGCGTCACTGGGGAGTCATCTGGGCTTCAGGTCTTTGTTACAGCCTTCGCTAGTTTCACACAGGTCTCTTCCCAAAGCTCAGCAGATCCCTCACAGTCACTCTGTGGCTGATCTTCATGTGTGCTTTTACTGTAGTCTGTGAGAATCACCCTGGTGTCCCACTCAATAAACCTCACCAGCGGAGGCTTCAGCTTTGGCTTGCAGTTTCTGAGCATTTCCAAAAAAAGTAATCTATCATCCAACTAAAAGCAAGCACGCTTTAAAGCAAGCAGTCCTGCTGCCTGTGAGTAGTACTAGCATCAGGCTGGAGACAGCTGTTCAGAAAATACGATTTAAGGCATTTGGATGTGGATCTGCAAGACATGATGAACAGGTGCCTTAGAAAGTGCCATTCTTTCTCCTTGATTTGTCTCACACTGATATTTGCCCTGTCAGCACTCAGAGGTAATTTAAATATAAAAACCCAACTCAATTCTATTTTGGAAATACACTGAGATTACTTGAGTGGATGAGTTACTAAATCTTGTTTCTGTTGCACTAACCTATAAACTTATGAATGTTCTACCACTAAACTTTAAAGCAAATCATTGCCTTTTTAGAGTGCAAAGGCGGAATTTCTTTCCAGGGGAGGACCACGTGCCCATCTGCCTGAGCTCTATGCCTGTGTGCAGTGCTCTGCTCACAGGGACAGCACACAAGGTGGGGAGATGATAAAAGTTTAGAGGCTTTTTTTTTGTGATCAGCTCTGAATATGGGTGGCTATTTCATCACCAAACTGGCTCACCTCAGTTAAAACCCTTCAGAACAGAAATGCAAACATCCATCCTTGATTTTCTACCACCATCTGCTGGTACAAGCAGCGGTGACTGCAGCAATCCTCAGGATAGATACAAATACCGTGTGTTTTAGCATGGCATTTCTTCTTACCTATAGACCTCATCCTGCTGTAGGGTCTCGGACTTGTGGGCATTGGGCCTTGGCTTGCTCCCATGGGGCTCAGAGTCATGGAGCCCCAAGAGAGCTCCTCGCAGGTTTCCTTTGCCCAGGTGGCAGCTCAGCCTCTTGGTTTGAAAAGCCAAGGACTCTCCTCTGCATATGGACAGTGCAGACCTAACACAGGCTGCTCAGCCCCAGGAGCAAACGTAGTCACCACCATGCAGGAGGAGACAGGTTTGGTTCTGGGAGCTGATTCAGCCAAAAACTGCTAGAAAGGGTCACAGAAATAACTCTCCCCACTCCAGGTGTGAGCCCAGAAAGAAAACAGGGAAAGCTTGCATTAGATGTGGAACTTGGTGACCCTGCCTGCTGCTGGGGGATCGGAAGTTGATGATCCTTGAGGTCCCTTCCAACCCAAGCCATTCTATGATTCTTTGACTCTATGAAATGTGGCTGGCAGCTGGCAAGGAAAGTCTGTGCTCCAACTTTGAGCTGGTGATCCAAGATATATGGAACCCGGGATAAGCTCACAGTATTTGTGATAGGAAATATTTGTCAACAGAATTAAAAATAAATGTCTCTTCCTGCAGAGACAGCTTTTACATTAACAGATGTAGATGAAAGCAACCAAATCCCAGTGAGAGCTTAGCTGGATGGTGTAATCCTCAGCCCAAACCACCTCCTGCCTTCACAGCATGATGATCCTTAAAGCCATTAACTCATGAACATACAATCACCTTCCTCATTGTGTGAGGCAAGGATACATTCAGTTTCTCCTTTCTCATCTATCTTCAGCACTGGCCAGACACCAGCCTCCAACCTGTTCCACTGAGTCCACACAGCCAGGAGGAGTGTGTACAGCAGGGAAGGAGCCATGGGATGTGCAGTACTCTCTTTAAACCCAGCAAGGGGTGAGTGCCAGTCTATTTTTTTGGTATGATGCCCGTAAGCAACTACTGGACCACGATAAGAAAATAAAGCACAGAGCATGTCTATATAAAGGCATTCAGCAAGAAGTGCTGACATTTATTCAAAGTTTCATAGTTACAATAAAGACCTTTGACTTTGAACTTCTAAATCACAACAGCAGTTAAAAAAAAAAAAAATACAAAAAGGAAATGGGTTCTATTAAAGTGCCATGATGTGGAGAAAACCATTGAAATAACGCAAATGAGCTGCAGTGAGAAATGAAGTCTTATCTGAACAATGACAGCAATACATAGGTAAATTATGTTACAGAATTTACATAATAACTTACAAAGACAAAGGTAAGCTGAATTTCATGCTGCCATCTCATTGTTAAATATCAGCTTAACTATTCCTTATCAGCACAGTATCATACAGGATAATTAAAAGAAGACCAGAGGATGTCTGTGTTGAAAAAGATGTCTGAAGAAAAACCCTGATCTGCATTTATACTGCAGTACTGCAAGAAACTTAAGTATGTATGAATTGTAAAGTGACACATTCAGCAGCAAGAAGACTATAAATACATCCTTTACATTGATACAGAGTATCTACACATTTACATATCTACACACACATGCATACGCAGGCACATACATGCACATACATACGTGCATAGATGTGTGAGTATACATGTGTTTCAGTTTGTACTGACCAAAGTCAGCTGCTCTTTGATTGTGTTTGGGTAGGGTAGCTTTTGCAGCTCAGGACCAAGATCATTATTTAGAATCCTTCTTCAGTTTCCTAAGCTATAGGCTCTAGTATCTGAATTTCCAGCACAAAGATACACTTCTGGGCTCAACCATCAGAGAGAGGTCCAATAATTAAGAATAGTTCCAACTGACATTGAAAAATTTTGCTCACAAAGTCGTAATACTTTTAAGTAATATGGTATACAAATCAGGTAAAAGCCTACTTCCATAAGTAAGAACATTTGAAAGGCATATGGGAATGAATACATTTTGAACATGCACACAATTCTGTACTGTTTGTAAGGACAAAGGTGAAAAAGCAAGGTGAAAATTCCTAACATTGGCTTACATGACACCTTGAAAAATAGAAAGTTTAGCACTATCTTTCCTTTAAGAAATTTATATTCCTCTACAGGACAAGTCTGACACTAATAAAGATTGTTTTTCAGCCATGTTCCACTTTATAAAAAATTGTCATCTCTGTCTCTTTGAATAAGTCTGTAACAAACACCTTTGACTAAAAGTATCTGGTTTCTCACCCTTTTAGGTATGCCTGAAGATGTGCTTTTGGCCCATAGTGAACTCACCACAGTCTTCTTTGCCTATAACTGCATGCTGTTAGAGCTGAAGGTAACCATGCAATTAGTTTACTAAGAAATGATCTAGTGAATAAGAACGTTTGTGTTCCATTGTGCATCTGTGTAAGGAAGATGATGCTACTAAATTGCCAAGGCTACGTAAACACAGATCTTGGTGAAGACATGGGTTGTGAGGCCAAAATATTTCAAAAAACAGCTATCTCATTGCATGAATTATCAAAAGGTTGGAAAAGATAAATCGATTTCCTCTTCTGATGCTGTTATGGTCAGTGGATCAGTCATTTCTGCATCCATCTGCAAGGTGCAGAAGAGTACCCTGAGGACCCAGCAGAAATGGCTCACCAAGCTTATTTCCTGGTGGCTATAGGAGTTGAGTGCACTGATTGAGGTACATCTGGAGAGAACAGGTATTTTGGAGAGGAGAAACTGTAAACTCTGATTTATTCTCCTCATATCTATCCTGTACAGTGATTGCTACGTTATTATCTTACAGCAAGGATTTAGCACTGAACACATTGTTTGCTCACAGATTCTGGATGTTATGAAATGATACAGTTCTGCAGAAACCTGATTGTATATCAGTGGGAAAATGTGTTTTACGCCAACACCTCTGCAGCTTCAAACTTCAGAGGAGAAGCTTCTACAATACCTTATTTCAAACCATTTAGTTTTTATTTACAACTTCACATTCCATGCACTTTTCACCAGGATCTTCTTCTGTGAGAATCTATGGAAAAATCATCAGAGAAAACACTGAAAACTAGCAATTCAGAACACGTAGTTC